GAGGAAAGGACGTCCCATTGCTCTGAAAACTCATTTCCCTGCTTCTCGTGGTTTCCTTGCGTCTCTCCATGCTTCCTGGTGGGAGGGACTAGACGCAGGGAAACCACGCAAGTGAGGGACGCAAGGAATCCATTTAACCGACCTGAGACGCAGCCTCTGATCACAGAATAATATCACCTGCAGGGTCACGGGGTCAGATCCTGCCTCACCTGTACCTGCTGTGTGGACTAACCTTTAACCTGTTAAGCCCAGGGTTTTTTCCCACGACACTGTGTCTCAGGGCTTCTTAACATTTAACAACCTATGAATGTGTCATATCCACTTAACGGGAAGAAGCTCAGCTAACTGACGATATGAACAATTTTTACCGAAACAAAACACAAGTCTCACAAGAAGCGTCTAAATGACCCCTGAGCGAAAAGATGCTAACGCACCTAGCACAGAACTCACGGTAGAGATACTTTATTACTAGGGCTGTCAAGTTAATAACGCGTTAACACAAAAAAAATTAACGCCACTAATTATTTGAATGCGATTAACGCATGTGTATTTTTTGTCCTCGGCCGGCCCGTAGTTTCAGAGCGCATCGAGTTTAAAATACCATCTACAAGCTGATGCTGACAGCCCCGCTCCTGCCGCCCGCTTGTGGCAGACCACACTTCCACGCTCACCGGCAGGCCCGGACTGGCCATCGGGAGGACCGGGAGGGTGTGTGTATGTGTGGCGCGACTCGCGCGAGCGAGGCACACCTACGTGTTGTTGTTGTTAGCATCTGGGGCTAGCTAGCTGCGCTAACGGATATAAGGAGCTGTTTCAATGAAAACAGAGGAGCGACATTTCGCCGTCAACTGCGCCGAGCACTTGACTTGATGCAGGTAGCCAGACAGTGGGACATTGTACGAAAAGTCAGCACACTCAGCACGGATAGTGCTACATGATTGCAGCGTCCACACACACGCACGCACGCACGCACGCACGCACGCACGCACGCACGCACGCACGCACGCACGCACTTGTAATGTTCAGGTTGTTGTGTTTAATATTCATGAGAGTATTTGTCATTGTTCAAATGATAATAAACAAACATATAAAGCATATTTGTCCACTCATATGTTGATAAGAGTATTAAAAACTTGAAAGATATCCCTCTAAGGTACATTTAGAACAGATAAAAAATGTGCGATTAATTTGCGATTGATCGCGATTAACTATTTGAATCGACTGACAGCCCTAATTATTACTTATCGGATCTGCACAAACAAGACATCAGATTAAAGCTGAGGTTCCACAGATAGAGGTATTATTAGTTTCATCACTAAGCGATCAAATATTCGCCCAGCCAATCAGAAATAGTCTTACCTTTGCTGTTTTCCTGATGCCTGTTCAATGGCATAAGAAGGATAGAAACCTGCTGAAGGTTAATCCATATGTTAATCCAATGTGTCTGTGTCACTTTGAAATGATTTCTGATAATCCATCATCATATTTATGTCAAAAATCAGCCTCAGGCAGATCGAGCATCCGCTCTCATCCTGGTAAGAATGCATTTCTGCTATTTCCCATTTGTAATATCTTTTTGTATTTCACTGTAATATTTTTGACTTGTATCCTAATGACTTGTATCCTAATGACTTGTATCCTAATGACTTGTATCCTAATGACTTGTATCCTAATGACTTGTATCCTAATGACTTGTATCCTAATGACATGTATCCTAATGACTTGTATCCTAATGACTTGTATCCTAATGACTTGTATCCTAATGACTTGTATCCTAATGACATGTATCCTAATGACTTGTATCCTAATGACTTGTATCCTAATGACTTGTATCCTGATGACTTGTATCCTAATGACTTGTATCCTAATGACTTGTATCCTAATGACTTGTATCCTAATGACTTGTATCCTAATGACTTGTATCCTAATGACATGTATCCTGATTGATTCTGTTCTAATCAGGTGAACACAACTCCTCTGAAAACACCCAAGAGAGGACGACCATCTTCAGGCAACGGGAGCCCCGACAGTGACATCAAGGAGCCCGTTGAATGCTCTGAAGAGACCCTCCTCAGGTGATGGGAGTCCACCAGACGGGGCCCCATCCAAGAGATCACAACCTCCACTGGATGTACGCAAGGACCTAGTGGCACATGTTCCAGTGAAGACCAAGAGAGGACGCTGCAGACACTGCAGTGAAGGGTACACAAACACACAATGCACCAAGTGTGGCGTCCGTCTGTGCTTTTCTGACGATAGGAACTGTTTTTGGGACGACCATTATATTCATATTCAATAAATCACTATTCATAACAAATATGACTGATGTGTGATTATTATTCATGCTATACTGATATAGGGCTAAGTAAGCAATCAATCCTGCAAATCAACCCTTAGTTGTTCAATATATGTATTCAGACGATGTGAGTAGAGATACAGGAAGCTGCTCCCACCTAAGCCCAACGTTGCAGTATCACAACATTCCCCTAAAAACGTACCA